TAAAAGTGAAAATACTCAAAATGGTTTCTAATGACCCGCCCCATACATAAAGAAACTATATATTTTTCTCTTGGGATTTTTCGAATTCATGTGGCTTTGAAAATTTTGACAAGCACTTTCATGAAAATTTTAAGTATTGAATGTCACTTTAACACGGAAAAACGATCATTTTGATGAGTGTGGCAACTGGCTGGAAATATCACGGCATTGTGGCGAACTAAGATTTTATGGACAGTTGTCGAAAGGTTCTGCGATGTTTCAAAAACCAACCTGTCGTATATTTCTATGGCGAGATATCTGGCTTCAACTGGCAGCTTTAACGCATCACATAGATTAAAAATGTACTCTAAAGGAAAAAAGGCACATTAAAATGGACTTTTAGAATGAAAAACAACAAACATACAAAGTATATTAAACACTGAAAATGTTGAAAGTGGTACACAAGTTATTTTCCTGAGTCAATATACCTGCACATTTTGCGTTTTTGAAATAGCCCATGTCTTTGTCGGCATTGTCCATATTTTTCTCGTTATTTTCAGCAAGTGTTTGCAAAGAATCCTCGAGCAATGAAGGAGGCAATCCAAAAGCGTCGTTAAAGAGTGGCTCCGAGGGTGTACCGAAAATTCTCGTTTTCGCCAGTTTTGCGAGGCTTAAAAGCAAGCTAAGCCTTCCTATTCGTTGTGTTTACTTTCTGTGTGTCCATTTTACAATCTTATAGCATTTCTGGTTGTTATACAAGGCATTTCGTTTGTTGTACTCATGAAATGAAATAAAATAAAGTTTTTATTTTGCACTTTTGAAGTTTTTAAAAAGGCGCGGGAAAGTTGAGTTGTGTGCGGGATAATAATGGATAACAGTTGTTTTGCCAAGGCATATCACGGTACTTAGGGACAATTGGGGATACGTCTACATGGTCAAAAATCGCTGAGCTACATACGGTCAAAGTGTCAAATTTAACAAATTTTTGCCCAAAAATCTTTACGCCGTTTGCATATATGAATGAACAAGAACAGGTAAAAACATTGTCTAGTTTATCAATTATCAATAGCATTTGAATAATTTCGAATGTTCTGTAATCACGCTTAACTAATTGGCTGAGCCAACAGAAACCCAAAGTATTACTAACACTGATCTGTAAACGGCAAACGACGTTGCAGTGTCAAAAGCCGAGACTTTCTGGTTTACGCCGAATTGCGCGAAAAATACTCCAGTGCAATAGTGAATATATATAGCTCGGTGGTAAAAATAGGATCGAAAGTGGTTCTGGGTAAATCGTGCTCTTCAGTGCTACTTCCGTTTCCGGTTTATAGTTTTGGAAAGCAAAGGCGTACCCGGGAAGCAGTGTAATTTTCCTTTCAAAATATGCCTGTAAGTTTGAATTTTTTACCTGTATTATGAATTAAATCTTATCTACAATTACCTATTGTATTGTTTTATATTCTAGGCGTATCATTCTTCGCTCACAGCGCCCCGATCTTTGGGGAATATGGCGTTGTTGCCACTGAACACAAAATTCAAAGGGATGGCCCCTCCGGGAGGTATTGCTTTATTTACTTTTAATAAAAGCTTGGGATAAGTTTGTGCAACTTAATTACTCGATGTTGTAGTCAGTTTATTGCTAGAAGTAGCTCACATAGCTTATTTTTGCAACTATTTATGTGTTTATGGTCTATAAAATTTGTTTTTTTTTCAATAGGTAGTGTTTATGTTTTCAGGAAGGCAGGGGGGGGGAGGGTAATTTCCTTGTGTATCAAGTATATTTAAAAACACCAGATTGAAACATAGGATTGTAAATAAAAATGTAATACATCAATTTTCTTTCAAACTTTCTATAGCATGGAAGCCAACCAGCCTTCCTGGTTCATGCTTAATTTAAACGATATAATTGTCAATTTCCATTGCTGGATGCTAAAAGCCTCCCTCTCACTTCTTTTGATTTCCATGTGCGGTATGCAATTTGCAGCAAATCTAAATACTATTGTAGAATTGTAATAATGCAAATTTTTAACTACAGATGGCTCAACTGACATTATTGAAGAGGCCATCTATTACTTCAAAGCCAATATATTTTTCAAGAACTACGAAATAAAGGTTTGAAATATTGAGTTCTCACAATAACACTTCCTTTGTAGTTTGGTTAAGTCAACAAAATATTGTTAGATACAGAATTCCTAATTTGTACTTTGTGCACAACACTACATATTTTCAACTTGGAGTATTAATTGATAATTCCTTTTTAGGGCGATGCTGATCGTGTGTTAATTTACCTAACACTCTACATTACTGAATGCCTAAAGAAACTACAAAGGGTACATTAATTAACATATAAATTCCTGTTTCAGAATATTCACTTGTCCAACTGTTTCATGGCTTTGGATAAAATAACAAAGTAGGGTATGCAGGGCTTGAAATTTGTACTGTCCCAATATCCATAGGATACCAGATTTTAAAATTGGATACTGGACATCATAAACTCAGTACCATTGGGACACTAAACAAATTGAATCTGTCCTCCACAGACACAGTATTTTTGTTGTTTATGAATCCTTCTTAAACATATCTTAGATTCATTATATCAAATTCATTACAAGTGAAAACTCATTTTACATTGTTTCAGTGTTTGAATCATAGACGGATTTTCTGGGGGGGTGCAGGGGGGTGCTACCACCCCAATATTAGCTATAACCCCCCCAAACAAAATGTCCACCCCCCTCCAAAAAATTTTCAACCCCCCCCCCAATATTCGACATAATAAATAAATAATTAAATAGTCCACTCCAACGTGCAGAGTGCTGATGATACAAAATAAACGTAGGAGTACACTCGAACAGAAAAAGACAGTGCAACAGTCTGAAACTAATCGCTCCTTGCTTGCATTCACTGGTTTATTGGAGCAATTGTAAAGTTTTGAAACTCCATTATCTTCCCTGAATAGAGTTTGCAGTGCCTTGTCATGTGAATAGCTTGCACGCAAGGAACGTTTGGAATTTTTATGAACACTATTTTTAGTTTTTAATTCTTTTTGGAAATAGACTTGCCTAGATTTAATCTTTATGCCCCAAATATTATTTACATCAGAGTTGCATCATAAATTGTACTCTGATTCAAACAACACAATGTCCATGACTTTATAGAAGTAAAAGCATATTGTGTATTGGCCTATTGGGTTTACACTTTTATAGGTTCATTAAAGTCTTTAACTCTCTCAAATCTTAACAGACAATCGGACATGCCAAATCCATTGATATGACAAATTGACAACTTCAAAAAACTTTTTTTTGAAGCTAGAAATCATGATTTTTTTCAAATTTTCCCTGGGATACTTTGTTTTCTGCTCTCTAGACTCCCCCTCGCGGCTCTAGTGCTCCACCACCCCATATAGACCTTACTCGGGTTTGGTGACACTTTGTGTTGCTTTGGTCACCTGCTCTGACACGGCTCACCCCCCTAAAATTTCTTGCACCACCCCAGTAATAAATGAAAATCCATCTATGGTTTTGCTTGGATTTTGGAAATAACCCATCTACGGGCTGACAGATAGTAGGCATTGCCACCATCTTCTTAAAGAAATTATCTTTCCGCCACCAGAGGAATCGTCAGCAAACCATACCTGTTTAAGGGTTGGTTCATGTGATCTCAGCTTACGAATTAAGGGTGTTACGGCCAGAGCATACATAGCCATTGCAAGAGGATCTCCTTCGGCAATTCCTTCCGATGACTCAATTTCAGCCCCTCGAGCTCCTTCTTCCCCTGGTGTGACACTAAGATGACATAACAATATGAAATTGGTCGAAGACCCGTACTCAGGAAATAAAATAACAACATAAAACGCTCACTGAGTTTCCAGCGATATACATACCCTTTTCTAGATATATACCTAATAATAATAAGCTAACAAACGAATGTATTCCTTCCACTCGTGAGCTCATTTACCATTGTCACATATAGTAAATGTCCAGGCCTTGTGACCCTGGATGGGCACTTAAAAGGAAAGAATACACACACACAAAGGTTTATTTATTCAACCATTACAAGAGAACGATTGAACAACTGCGCATGAACAAACGTCCAAAGTGAATGCCTCTTGTTAGCCACCTACCAAATTATCATTAGCATAACAATATGTCTCACACAACTCATTTCCTTGTCGTCATATCATAACAAACCATATCAGGAAATATGAATATCAATTACAAACCTTTAGTCAAATCCATGACCTTCAGGAATATTTACCTACAACTGTAGGATTTAAGTGCAAAGCACCAAAAATAACAATATGAAATTGGTCGAAGACCCGTACTCAGGAAATAAAATAACAACATAAAACGCTCACTGAGTTTCCAGCGATATACATACCCTTTTCTAGATATATACCTAATAATAATAAGCGAATGAACGAATGTATTCCTTCCACTCGTGAGCTCATTTACCATTGTCACATATAGTAAATGTCCAGGCCTTGTGACCCTGGATGAGCGTTTTATGTTGTTATTTTATTTCCTGAGTACGGGTCTTCGACCAATTTCATATTGTTATTTTTGGTGCTTTGCACTTAAATCCTACAGTTGTAGGTAAATATTCCTGAAGGTCATGGATTTGACTAAAGGTTTGTAATTGATATTCATATTTCCTGATATGGTTTGTTATGATATGACGACAAGGAAATGAGTTGTGTGAGACATATTGTTATGCTAATGATAATTTGGTAGGTGGCTAACAAGAGGCATTCACTTTGGACGTTCGTTCATGCGCAGTTGTTCAATCGTTCTCTTGTAATGGTTGAATAAATAAACCTTTGTGTGTGTGTATTCTTTCCTTTTAAGTGCCCATCCAGGGTCACAAGGCCTGGACATTTACTATATGTGACAATGGTGAATGAGCTCACGAGTGGAAGGAATACATTCGTTCGTTTGCTTATTATTATTAGGTATATATCTAGAAAAGGGTATGTATATCGCTGGAAACTCAGTGAGCGTTTTATGTTGTTAAGATGACATAGTTTGTTTAGTTTAGCTGATCCTTTCTTTGTTTCACCAGGTAGGACTTTGGTAAGTCATCTACCAACATTGCTATTTCGTGGCAAAAATTGTCTCCAACACAAAATTTGTCTAGGAGAAAGTGTACTTTTTCTACTTTCGACTTATCCATCTCAGAGACAGAGTCTACCCTTGGGCAGTTGATGAATTTGCCTTCTTCTCATTGTTCAAGTTATGAATGTTGCCAGTTTTTAATTCACTCAGTTATATTTTCCACATTTGGCCCAAATGACTTAGAAAACCATAATCCAACTTCAGCTCGAGACGTAAATGATTTCAGAGTCCTGCACATATTTTTACTTTCTGGAAATGTCTTTTCCTTTGTGTTCATATCTATTGCTTTCCAACTTTTTAATATCATTGGAAAGTTCTTCATTCTTGGAAAGCAAATCTGAAATTTCTTACCCCTTTTTCTGGAGTACTTGTTCCATTTCATCATGTAGTTGTTGAACTTTTGATTCCAGATTTTCACAAGTATTCTTCCAGTGCTCCAAGCTCCAACTCATCACAGATATCTTGATTTCGAACCTTCATATCTGCCACAGAAACTGTTTCCCCTTTCAAAATGTGAAATGTTTTGCTTTTGCTTATTTCTATTTCCTACTCTTGCAGCATTTGTACTCTGCATTGACCTGGCTCTCCAATTTTCAAAGGGATTCATTCACATTGAACCTGACAGTTTTGTCTGTTGTTCAGGGGTGGAAAATATTTTTTTCTTTCTGGGAACCTGGGCCGAAGGCTAGAAATTTTGTGTAAAATTTGTAATGTTTACAATTACAAAAATAACAAAATAAATGCATAATTATTGTATTATTTGTACTTTAGCAATAATGGGCTTTAGGCTGGTTTTTGTACCCTTGTACATCACAATAGTTGTGACCAACTAGTAAGGATCTTGATTTTTTCTGGGTTGGTGTTATGTACTAAGGTGAATATGTTTGTGATGTTACTTTGAGTATATATGCACACCGGGCAAACTTGAAAAATATGCCTGGCCATGATGGGAATCGAACCTACGACATTTGGATTACTAACCCAATGCTCTGCCAACTGAGCTACGCAGTCAGGTCGGTTTGAGTATGTGATATTTCGGAACTGAGTTTAGTTCCTTTGACATCAATGTAATCTAGTATTCCAAAGGTCATATAGGTTTGATTCCCACCATGGCCAGGCATATTTTTCAAGCTTGCCCGGTGTGGATACACACTCAGAGTAACAACACAAACATCATATTCACCTGGATGCACAACACCAACACAAAAAATCATGATTTTTAGATTACATTGATGTCGAAGGAACTAAACTCAGTTCCAAAATATCACATACTCGAACCGACCTTACCGCATAGCTCAGCTGGCAGAGCATTGGGCTAGTATTCCAAAGGTCATAGGTTCGATTCCCACCGTGGCCAGGCATATTTTTCAAGCTTGCCCGGTGTGGATACACACTCAGAATAACATCACAAACATCATAGTAAGGATCTAACACTTAACTAAGTGTCCTATCATCTTATTTATTCCATCACTTTTATTGGTTTTACTATTTAATTTGCATTTTATTCGAGACTTTGCAGAGCATATATTTACCATTTTACCAGTCATTGTGATGGCAGGGGTGGGTAAAAGAATTAATTTCTGTCAAATATTTAAAAGCTGCTGATGTTAGCATGTACAGTGTAAATAAAATAGAATAGTTGTAACTTGTAAGTTGAGTAAACAGAGTTATCTCAAAATGTTGAAATATTTTCTGGAACATTTTCTGCAAAACTCTCAACGCAAAAAAATTTCTGGGAACTATGTTCCCAGGTTCCGATACTTTTTCTACCCCTGCTGTTGTTATGGCAAATAAATGCCTGTCCAGGAATGGTATATTGGAGCAAGTCGACGAACGTATAAGTATTGGAGCATTTCCACTTTATTATATGATCATACCAGGCTTTCAAAACTGGAAAAGGAATAGAAACAGCAAAGACAATCTCCTCTTTGATTGGCTTGCCTGGTGTATTTTAATGACGTCCTCTCAATGCCTAATTTCCATTGCAAATTTGAAAGCGATGGTGGTATATCAGACATTGTACATGTATTAAAATAAACATATTTAAAACTTACAAGATAGATTCTCAGTGAAATAAAGAGGTGGAGTGTTCAATATGTCCACCAAATAATTTGTGATGTCCCAACAATAATTTCGCAAGTTCGCAACAACACAGTGCCAAACAATTCATCTAATTTCAATTTTCCCGCGACTTTGAGAGAATATTTTTGTAGCTACAGTCTCTTAGGTCAGCAGTAAAGGCCATGGAACATAGCAACAGTTTTAGAGCAACAAAACATGTTAGTCATGGCAACACAATAATTGGTTTTTTAATTTTTTGTAATTTGTACAAACCGGGAAAAATAGATGAAATTTCAGCACTTTTAAATACATAACTATCAATGTCTAAAATATATAAAGTAGGAATAATATTTTCAGAGGCGCCGGAATATCAATAATAGTAATAGTAATAATCATATATCTGTGTTCACAGACTGTAAAAACAATTGATTTAAAAAGAAATTAATTGGGCAGAACACGAATATATGAATATCTGCCCCCCCCCCAATTATCGATATTCCGGCACCTCTGAATATTTTGGTTTCTATGGGCTTTATTTTAATGTAAAATTCAAAACGAAACTCTACGTAAAACGTTTTTAAATGTGAATTGTAATTAACTGCTTTTTGCCGATATTTTATATAAACTTCTCAACTCGAGCTTCAACTTATTACTCGCACTTTGAAATGAAACAAATTTAATTCGTACAGGATGCTAATGAAAATAATTTGCTTTCCTTTTTATCATGAACTTCTACAAAAGTTAATTTAACTAAGAAACTTTTGCAAACAATACAAAGTCATACACTCATGCATAAACAATTGAAACAAACTTGCCCTATACTTTAGGATTGATCATACAATATCAATTCTTATCAATGTTTACGTTTAAAAATTGCAAAAAAGTTGTACAATTTGTTATGTGAAACGATTTTCCAAGCTTTCTTACATGTATTTTTTTATATTTTTTGCCTTCACTCCTCAAAATATGGCAAATAGCCATATTTTGAGATAAGTGATGACCACCCACTTAACACCGTTGGTGAGCGCCCGTGATCATTGATGAACGTTAGATTTCGCTAATGCTTTTGTTTCCCCGGGTGTAAATAGCCTGGGGGAATTAGTACCCTCATAATGGGAATTGTCTATTTACATGAACATAAGAGACTATTTATATTTGGCTTCCATTTTATGTGAAAATTAATATAAAAGGTATAGCTATAGAACATTGTTATTTGTTGTTAAGTTGTTTTGTTATACATTTTTGAAACTAATATCTTTTCAAAGCCCCCTTTCTTTCGTCTCTCTGTATTTTTTCAAAGCCCTCCTTTCAGGTTTAAAAAAATTTTAAGGCCCCCCAGTTTCTCCTCAATCCCCCCCTCCCCTGTACAATAAATAATGAGCGGTCCCTAACAATGTTAGATTCTTTATCAAGTGGGAAGTCGTTGCAACCATAGAAATTTAGAGGTTTCAGAGTGACTGTTGGGTAGCTGGTACTACATGCATACATTTTTTCTCAGCATTTTAGATTTGAAGCATTAGCCTCAACCATATGTCAGATCAATGTGGCAACCGAGATATTGGGGAAAAGTTTGTTCAACACCAAATTCTAAAATTTGTGTTAAATGGTGAATGTTGGGGTGTTGACTACAGGTATTTTAAAGTTTTGATCTGGAATTATACTCACTATAAAACTATATTCCTGTGATAGAAATTTCTAGCTCATAAACATTTTTACAATTGACCAGTGCCAGCAGTTGCAGCATCTTGCAAGAAGCCCAAAACTTACAAAGTTTATGTACCAGGACGATCCCAAGACAAATAGTGATAAAGAAATTTATCAAACGGTATCACTACGACTGGTAAGTAAATGACACTAGTAAATTATGATATGTAATTTAAAATTTGCAATTCCGACTAACGTTTTTGATCTGATTCCTATTTGCTCATTTGTCATCCATTTCACATGAAAAACATATCTTTCCGAATATGAAAAAATCTTGGTCGTACGCAGAGTAATTCAGATGCAATAGAGCTCTGAAGTTCGATTACCTTTTTTATACACCATGTATATACATTGATACAAAGGAAAATGCTATATGATACAGTTCGAGTGGAAAACCGTCTTTACTGCAACCTTGTACCCAGGCTGGTCACATGACTTTACAAAAGTATATTGGCTATTAAGGGGGGAGGGCAGAGCATCAAATTGCATGCTTCCACAAACAATGTTACACTTCCATTACAAGGAGTGAATCAGAGTGATCTAAATTATATTTCGTCATTTTTGCAATACATGGTTTGAAATGCCTGCTAATCTGTGTTTTTCTGTTTGCTTTTTAATTAGTACATATACACTGTACTTGTTATTCCTTTGAGTAGCTGGCTGTTGTGGTATTTACTGTGGATTTGATAACAGAGAGGTATAATACTTCGACATATTTCTTGATCGTTGAATTTCAGTGAAGCCAATGCAGGAAATTACACACCACACAGTCTTCAATATTGTTACAAAGTTTACAATTGGTAATATTTTGGAAATCACTCAGATCCCTCTAGGCATTATTAAATAAATTCTTTGGGTCGAGTATATGGATAGACTGGTCAATCTGGAAATATATTATCTTACATGTTTACCGCGATGTGTGTCCATATGGCGTAGTATATATTGTATTGAAGTGTATAAACTATAGACCACCGTCTTAATATTAAATACCTTGAATTTGTATAACCTCCTTTATTCACATGGTCGGCAGATCAGGCGAGGAAGTTCATTGTCACAAGAAGGTTTGCAACGGTAGGTTGTTTCGGACGTAACAAGCAATTGGACATTGGCTTTGTTGTACAAGTTCTTTAACTCATTAAGCGGCAATGAAGCTGTTACAATGTTTTTACCCGCCTAAGGCGCAAGCAATATGGCAAATTTGTGATTGAATTCAAGAGCTTTCACCAAAATGGCAATATCTCGGAAACAGTTGCATAAAAAAATCTGATCTTTTCAACCAAACATTAGTGATATATGATTGACCAAATTTAGTTTAAATGACTTTGCATACCTACATATATCATTAGTTTTTTCAATGAGAATTTTTATTTGTAAAGCAGTGACACTTTGTTTTTCATGTCACTCATCACCTAAAGGGGCAATATCTCCATAAATTTATATAAAAACAAAAAAAAATCATTTACTAAATTGGTACATATCTATATTATAACCAATTTTCTTCTTTTGGGATATGAATTAGAAAACGATCAAAAATTATAAAAAATACTCATTTGCTTTTTTTGGGTAAGATATTTACAACATGAAATTTAGAACAGTAACTAAGTGTTCAAATTCAACTAAATGTGCAAGCCAAAACACAGTGCTTGTTCATCTTTGGAGTTTTTAATTACCTCAAATATATTTAAAA